CCTTTAACTATGTAGTGAATTTATGATCTGATTTGAGAAGTACATCCTTTCAGCTTATACAGGATCACTGGTAATGGTATGTACATACGCACGCGTAATCAAGTGTCCTGGCAGGAAACGGGACATAATTTTAAGCTAAACATAATTCCGGAAATTTTCACAAAGGATTTTCAGCTTTTAGAAGAAGAGATCCTCACATGTCAGAAATTTACACATATTTCGGATACATACTTCCCTCCCCAAAAGAGCAGCTTCTTTTAAGTAAAAGTTACCGTAAAAGGAAGCCAATTCATACCAGATACCGATACCATATTCACATGCGCAGTGGCCGCGGAGCGCGGGTGCATGGGGACAAAGAGGCAATATCCCCACGGTTGATCGATGTCCGCATCATCTGAATACCTGTTCAAAAATTTAGTTTTCATTCAAAAGTCAGTCATCCCGATTTCTGACTGAAGATTTTCATTTACATTCAGTCATTTTCTTTCAAACTGATTTCATTTTCTCCTCAGCGGATTTCATTTCTACCTTCGCTCCATGTATTAAGCATAGGGTGAAAAATGAAATGGTGAAAAATCCTTCATTCACAGTAATTCATCTAAAATGACTGAATTTTTCACTCATTTTCATTCAAATGACAAGAAATTTATTCTCATTCACTATCATAATCAGTGAAATGAATGAACAAGTGAACAGGTATGTTTATCTGCCCATGTCATATAAACCCCTCCCTCCCCTATCCTACAATGGCAATGTCCCCACATGTCCCCACTGCTTCCGCGGTCACTGCACATGCGTATGTACAGAAATTGGTGTAAATGAATGCACGTCTTGTTTGACTTGATTGTCTGTTTCCCAGTTTAAGCAATATTTACGCTGATCTCTGTCCAGGACCTCCCTTGTTGGTGTTGTGCATCTCCTCTCCCAAATGTGGAGACCCTTCATTCAATAAATCCTCTTTATTTCCCATTTCCGTCAAAAGTTTGGAAAACAAGTTGTAAAAATGGGCATGAGCGGCCTTTCCACAAAAGAAAAGTGGACTGGACTCCACAAAAATCGCTACATTAGTCAGGCATGGATTACTTTTATGTCTTCTTTTCAAGTCTTGAATATCCGTTTTAAATAGGAAGAAAATCACATGTTTAAAAATTACCCCAAAATTGTCAAGTTTATGATAAAAAAATTAGTTTTATCTTCTTACAACAATGGAGGTCTCGCAGCGCATGCGCTCCGATTTTGGGCAAATTAGTGTCAATCGGTTACAAATTTAATTAGGATGAAATTTGCGAAGGACACAATCTCCCAATGGGCTCGTTTCGCAGAGATATTTGCATCCCAAGAGGAGAAAACGCGTCCTAAAGTCGACAAATTTTACACTTATTTCCAACTTTACTGCACGTTTTCTCCTCTTCGGATGCAAAAATCTCTGCCTAACGTGCCCATTGGGAGATCGCGTCTTTCGCAAATTTCATCCTAACTAAATTTTTGCTCAATTCAGCATTTCAGGTGCAAATAACCACTTGCAAGAAATTGGGATGTCGTGTCATTTGCAACTTTCATGTTAATTACATAAATCTGGCAGAGATATTTGCATCCAAAGAGGAGAAAACGCTCAGTAAATTATGAAGGGGTAAAATTTGTCGACTTTTCGGCGCTTTTTCTCCTCTTCGGATGCAAAAATCTGCGCCAAACGTGCCCATTGGGAGATCGCGTCTTTCGCAAATTTCATCCTAACTAAATTTGTGATCGATTGACACTAGTTTGCTCACATACGCCGCGAGACCCAAATTCTGCGTAAATTTAACGCCATTCCATGAAGATGCGTATAATTAATAAAACTATAATTTTTTAACAGGTGTATTCATTTCCTTCAGTTTTTGTCAATTCGTCCACAAACCCACGTTTGGGAGGAAATGAGATTTTTGAGATACCTAGTGTCAAAAATTTAATTAGTATTAAATTTGGGAGATCGTGTCTTTTGCAAATTTTATCCAAATCAAATTTGCCATCGATTGACACTAATTCCTCAAAATCGTAGATCACACGCTGGGAGACCTTCATTGTTAACAGCGTTTCATAAAAATACGTTTGTACATAAAATTAACAATAGATACGATAAGGTCGTAGCAGGTGGAAAAAAAATCATAAATTACATTTACGAATACGACAAAGTTGACAATTAATTAATACTTTTAATCTTTTAGTTTAACCACTTCACCCCTGAGAGACGAATATTTTCATACCTTTCACCCCTAGTAACGGCGAATTTTTTCTTCCCTTGACCCCGAAATTTTCACCTACTGCGTGACGTTAATTACTGGGAGATGAATTGAAAAATGGTGTTCCCACCGGAATTATTCTGGACACTTTTTTATGAAAGTTGATGCGAATAACCATTTGGGAACGGATTTTGAGTTGTAATTTGCCTTTGTGCATTTTTGCGAACCACTAATGTTTATAGCCGAAAATAGCCAACACGCCGAATTTAAAAATGATTGTAATTGCATGGAAAGTTGCACAAACATTGATTAATACGTGCATAATAGTATATATATATTCGCAAAAATCGATTATCGCGCCCCAAGGGCCCCAGAAGCCGATTTTAGCGGGAAAATTAAACATAGCAAATATGGCTTTCAATTCATGACATTGGCTTTAAATAATTTTGTAATTAGACTAAAATGTGTAAAAATTGCTTCTTGTAGATTTAACATGCATAGAATTTACGCATACTTAGGGCGGGAAAACAAACGTTTTCTTACAGTGACTTAAAATTGATAGCAGTGTTAATGAGTAATTATAGCATCAACTGTTCGAAACCATACTTTAGCGCATTTTGAATATAACTCAATTTTAACGGGAAAATTATATGCTACTTTCCAGACAATCTCTTAATTTTCCCGCCCAACGAGATTTCATCGGCTCCAGTGGTTAGTTTTCCCGCCAAAAATGTTGTTCGGACGTTCTAAATCCGAGAAAAACAATTTCACTAATTTTATCTGAAAGTGCTGTTGAAATATGGGACGAAAATTCCATGCAACAGCAGTTTTCAAAACTGGGCGTGTTAACTAGAAATAGCCAGTTGGCTATAAATTGTTTTTACCTCCATTTATAACTTTGGTTCCGAAGAGGCAATTCATCTTCTCGCCCAAATGGCGGATTGTTGACTCAAAACTATACTTGGAAGAGCAATGACCTATTTTTTTTCTGGATACGACACATAGTCGTATGCCGGTGGGAACGGAAAATACGCCACATAGTCGTTTCCGTTGTCAAGGGTCAATACGACACATCGTCGTATTTCGGAGCCAAGGGAACTTACGCCACATAGTCGTATTCGGTGTAAAGGTCAAATACGCCACATAGTCGTTATAGGGGCGAAGTGGTTAACGCCGTTTCATGAAAATGTGGAGAATGAATAATATGATAATTTCATAGGTTTTCATCTGACAATTATATCTGGAAAATTTGAAGCTCTCGATTAAAAATAGTAGAAACGTAAAACCATGTCTTAACAGATTCCAAACTTTGGTGTGGATTAATCTGTATACATTTTTTTTATTCGAAATATACTCATAAATTTTTAAAATGGCGACGACTTTCTCTTCTTTGGTGAAATAATTGTCGTGTCCTCGCCCTCTAAATTATGACCAGTCTAAATAACTAATTTGCATGTTAACTTCAGTATTTGATACCCACCACCACCACCAATTTCTTCATCACTATCATAATCATACATGCTCACATTCATTTATTTAATGATGAATGAATAAATTATTCATTCAATATTCAAAAATTGAATGAATATTGGATGAATATTTTGTTCTGATTTTTAATATATGAATATTGAATGAATATCTATTCAATTCGTGTGAATGAATAATGAATTAATATTTTTTTAATGATTCATTTTTTTTACTAAATGCTTAATACATAGGGAAAGTTGAGAAATTCATCTAATACTGTGAATTTTTAGTAAAATGAATAATGAAGGAATGGTGAATAATGAATAAATATTGAATAATTTTCTTACAAATTATGAATGAGTGAATAAGGAATGAATATTTTTTTTCAAGGCTTTGAATGAATAAATATTTTTTGAACATGTATGATCATAATCCCATCTCTCCATTAAAGGAGCAGGGAGAGAAGAGGACATTCTTTTTTACTTACGTACTTGCAAAAATTTTATTACAACAAATATATCCACAAATTTTATGTCAGCTACATATATATCGATTACATAAATTGTATAAATTTATTTTATTTTAGCTTAATATCGATTCAACCGAGAAGGAAAATAACGCCGACGACTTTCTCTTCTTTGGCGAAACAATTATCGACTCGTCTTCTTCCTCCTCCTCTAAAGTATGACCTGTCGAACTAATTTGCATGTCAAGGTCACTATTTGACATGACACCACCACCAATTTCGTCGTTACTATTATGATCTTGTCTCTCAATTGGGGGAGAGAAGAAGGTACTATTTTTTTATTTTTAAGTACTTGTACAAATTTTTATTTTAAATATATCCACAAATTTTGCCATTCCACAATTTTGCCATTACAAATATATGCACAAATTTTATTGTTACAATTGCACGCACAAATTTTATTTTAGCTTAATATCGATTCCACCGAGAAGGAAAATGACGATGACTTTCTCTTCTCCGGAGAAATAATTATGGTCTCTTCGTCTTCCTCCTCTTCTAAATCATGACCACCCGTCTAACTAATTTGCATGTCAAGGTCACCATTTCCGACACCAATTTCATCGTCACTATGATTAGCTCTCCTTTCCACGGGGGATGACACAGCAAGACACGCCGTCGTCGTCGCGAGGAGGGAGTAATACGCCAAGAGTGAGTAGTAATAATTAGCAAGAACAAATTTTATTGTTACAAATAAATGCAAAATTTTATTGTTGCAAATATACCCACAAACTTTATTGTTGCAAATATATCCTCAAATTTTGTTGTTACAAATACACCCACAAATTTGATTCTAGCTTAATATCGATTCCACCGAGAAGGAAAATAATGATTGTCTCTTCTTTGGTGAAATAAGGGTCGTCTCGTCATCCTCTTCTAAATCATGACCACCCGTCGAACTAATTTGCATGTCAAGGTCGACACCCCCACCCCCACCAATTTCGTCGTCACTATTATTATCTCTCCTTTCCACGGGGGACGAAGGGGGGGCCGTCTTCGCGAGGAGGGACGAATACGCCAAGAGCGAGTAGCAATAAATAGCAGGAACAAATTTTATTGTTACAAACATCCAGAAATTTTATTATGATAAATTTTATTTTAGCTTTTTTAAGTACTTGTACAAATTTTATTGTTACAAATATATCTACAAATTTTAATTTATTTTAGCTTAATATCGATTCCACCGAGAAGGAAAATAACGACGACGACTTTCTCTTCTTATTTGACGAAATAATTGTCGTCTCCTCGTCCTCCTCTAAATCATGACCTGTCGAACTAATTTGCATGTCAAGGTCGACACCCCCACCAATTTCGTCCTCACTATGATTATCTCTCCTTTCCACGGGGGACGACGATGGAGGGGGGACTGGACACGTCGTCGCGAGGAGGGACGAATACGCTAAAAGTGAGTAGTAATAGTAGGAACAATAACTCCCAAAATATTCTGGGGGGAGAAACGGGTCTGATAAGTGACGACTAAAATTGAACATATTTTCCTCCTCCCGTGCCGTCGTGGTCGGGTTGTTAAACTGGCTTTTTAACAGTTCCGGTTCCGCAAACGTTTTTCTGCGCCGGAGTCTCTGATTCGCCCAGAAGGAGAGGGGCGATGAGGGGGTGGGGGGAAGGGAGGAGGGCGTCGGAGGAGTGTCGTGATGGGCATGGCACGATTTTGGGATTCTGGGGGTCAGTTTGTGAGGGGGGTTTTTCTTGGTGGGGGTCGTGGGGGTCGTTTTGGTGACGATGTGGTCGGAGGAGGAATCAGGGATGGTCATTTCGGAGGAGGAAGGATGCTTCGATTTTTGGGAGAGTTGGTGCCTGGAGGATTAAATAATTAAAAGTTTTTAACAAATAGAGTACGTACAAATTTTGGGAATGCGTATGAAAATCGTCAGAATGTTGGAAATGTGTGTGTAAATCGTCCAAATTTTTAAAATGTGCATGCAACTCGTAAAAAATTTTATAAAAGTATATGGAAATCTTCCAAATTTGGAAAATGTTTCTCAAAATCGTCAGAATTTTGAAACTCTGCCTGAAAATCGTCCAAATTTCGAAAATGAGTAACAAAATGTCCAAATTTTGAAAGTGTGTGTGAAAATTGTCCCAACTTTGCAAATGTTTATTAAAGTTGTCCAAATTTTGATGTACAAATTTAAATTTTCAAGTTATGTACCTTCTCAGCGCTACTTGCGCTGCCATGATTCGTTGTCGCTCAGCCACTAATTCGCACATATCGCAAGGACACTCTTTCCATCTTTAAAGAAATAAATTTACAGAAATTTAATTTTAAAAATTTAAAAATCCACATTTTCTATATTTTCATCCTAATTAATCGACCTCGTAAAAATATTACATTTGATTTATTCAATTAATTTGCTCCATATTTGCACAAATTTGCAGAAATTTAAGTTTTGAAATTTTAAAAACCACATTTTTTCTAAATTTTTCATCCAAATTAATAATGACCGCGTAAAGATGTTGCGCATGATTTATTCAATTAACTTGCTCCATCTTTACATAAATTTACAAAAAGATTGTTAAGGGACAAAGGTGTTTCTGTGGCCTTAATTTTGACCATGTTGCCAGCATGGAGGATTTGTGAAATATCTTTTAAAAAATCTTACAAGTCTTCTTCTTCATTTTTATGTATGTCTCAGAAATCCTCCATGTTGGCATTGATGTGAAAATCACATCCGAAGGGGGTAGGTTTTGACAAAATATGCAGTACTCAAACCCAAAAATACCAAATTATGGTAACTATGTAACATATTTGAATTTTATTTTATTATCGTGATGATAAAATTAGCCCGAGCCAGGACTTTTGGAACCGTCGTGTCCGTCCTTCTGTCTGTATATCAGGATTATGATAACTCCCGTTAACCTTATCCTAAAGACTTGAAATTTGGTACACATGTAGTATGGGACAAATAGTGAGTTAAGTTCGAAGAGGAGCAAATCAGTTAACTGGTTGACCGGTGTGGGTCGTCTGGATGGGTCGGGTATTATCACCAAAAGTTCAAAATTGTCACAGAAAGCTGAAATTTGGTACAGAGATTACTAATGGCTTCTAAAAGAAGAATATTGATTCAGATGGGAGAACTTTTTGTCTGGAGGGACCCGAGGGGGTGACCCATACCGATTTTTAAAAATCGTCATATCGAGTTGAAATTTGGTAAAGAGGTTGCTTCTCATGAAAGAGTATGCAATTAAAAGTGAGCAAGGTGTAACCAGAGTGGCCCATAGGGTGACCCCTTTCTAAAAGTTGGTAGACCGATATTCGAGACATTGGTCATATGCACTATTGATTGGGAAATGGTTAAGCGTGATGGAATTTCGCCAAAAACGCGTGCGGGCTGAAATTCAAATCAAATCCATCATCCATTTCCCAATCAATATGCACATATGTGTACAAAATTGTACAATAGCTGCATCCATAGTCCGTGATTTGTTAGTGATTTGGTGATGCTTTCACAGGTTCATGATTTCAGCATGTTAATCACCATCAGAATTATAAAATCGACCAATCAGAAAATCGGAATAAAAATATTTTTGAAAATTATGGAGTATGGATGCGAGAAACCATCAAATTATGACGAAATCATGAACAAATCACGGACTATGGATACAGCAAATGTAATGACCGAATTACTATTTGAATCACCCAGTAGGGTCACCCCCACTGGCGGCCACTGGTTTTCTAAAACGGTCGTCGAAGACTGAAATTTGCCATGATCCTGTAGGGATATGCCAGGTTAATAAATATCAAGTAAATTAAAAGATTTTTTTGCCGTGGGGACCTAGCAGGGTGACCCATACTGGTTTTAAGAATTGTAATTTTCAGCTATGAAATTTTTAGCCTCCATACCATATCAATTTTTAAAACTACGTCTGCGTATTAAATACAATTTTGGATGGTCAAGATTTTAAAGGGGTGCTGGGGGCAGATTTGTAATTACTTTAAAATTTTAGAAGCGGATTCTGGTCCCGACTAGGACTAAATGAGATCTGTACTGTAGTTTTAGGCCTTTTAAGATGGCCTTATACATTTGTCAGGATTCTGTCTGTCCGTCCGTCTGTCTGTACGCACGATAACTCTCTTTAAACTTATTCTATCGACTTGAAATTTTGTACACTTGATCTTCGGGTAAAAAGTAAGGATGAGTTCGAAGATGGGCATGATCGGTCAAATGGTTGGTCGGTGGGGGTCTTTTCCACCCAAATGTGTTGCCCTTAACTACCAAGATGGCATTAATGCCATCTTAAAAGGCCCCGCAAAGTTGCTTGGAGTAGGTTTTTTTTAAATAATTAATATTACTGGTAAATACCATACGAAAAGACATGAGATTTTGAAATTAACAGAAATATGAATAGCTCGGCTCGGGCTATGTCAAGTACACCGTTGTTGAGTTAAAATTAAAATTAAATGGTTACAAATCGGCTCGTGGCAAAAACAAAAAAAATGGGCGCTGCAGGGCCCAGGAAAATTGCTTATCCCTTAATAATCTTTATTTTCTGAAGTTTGCAAATTTATAAAACCACATTTTTCTAAATTTTCATCCTAATTAAGGTTGAAAAAAACTTTGATCTAATTAATTCAACTAACTTAATAATTTACCTGCACATTTTTTTATGGCCTCGAAGACACGAAATTACCCCGTGATTCCGACATCTCGCACATTTTGGCGTTCTCAAATTTCTTCTCCGTTTAATTATCGGAGGATGAATCGGGTTAAAAATATCTCCTCCCACTTTTATCGGACACGATTTTAACGAATTTTTCGACTTTTGCTGATCCATTTTTTCCCAAATTTTACTTTATCAACACACTTTCACTTCTTTATTTATTTCCTACCACACAAAAAGTGTATTTTAAAAAATTCAAATTTTTCGATTTTTAAACTTCAAAATTCAAAAAATGTAGAAAAAAACTGTCCCAACACCACACCAAACTGAAATTTAATAAGTCGTAAAACCTTCCTCGTTACACAAATTTGTGGCAAATGAGTCCCAAAAATTTCTACTATTTTCAATTTTAAAGTACAAAAATTACACAAATCTAACAAAAAATATCTGTCCCAACACCAAACCAAAGTGAAATTGAACAAGTCTTAAACCTTCCTCGTTGTCTGGATGAATGAGAAATGAGCCCGAAAAAGTGACCACTTTTGGACTAATTGTGCGTCTCCAGCCCCAGACTGACTGGGATCTTGGGGCATATGCAATCTCTTTAAGTAGCAAATCTGTCCATGTTCATACTTAACTTTGTAACTCTCCGAAGAAACCGAATCTTGAACATGACTAACTACTTGACTACATACATGTGCAGTGACCGCGGAAGCTGTGGGGACATGTGGGGACATTAATATTGTAGGATGGGGGAGGGAAGGGTTTATGTAGCATGGGCAGACGATGCGAACATCGAACAACTGTGGGGACATTGTCCCTCTATCCACACCAACCCTTCCGCGGCCACTGTATAAATGTACCATCTTTCATTTTCATCCCTCTCGTCTCATCCTTCGTCAATGTTTTCTTCACGGCTCACACCAAGCACGTAATAAATTATGTACGTGGTTTAACTTACTTCACTTCCGATGGGCTTTAAGATATGGTCAGATTTACGCATGTATTCTGTGTAAATGAAAAGGATTTTGTTTACTAAATAATAAAATTCTTAATTGTTCCTAATTTTTTTACTGGCATTTCTTTATTCTGAATTTTGATATTTTTGTCAAACATTTATTTATTATGAATTTTGATTTTGTCAAATATTTTGAGCTTTAAAATATTTTGAATTTTTGGTTTTGTCAAATACTTTAATTTGAGTCATGTCAAGCGTGTCCTTTATCCTTTACGAGTATTGACTGACCTATCTAATTTTTAAATAATAAATGATAAAATATCACTAAATTAGTCTCATTTCGGCATCAAAATTTAGCAAGCACGTAATAAATTATGTACATGGTTTAGCTGACTTTCTTAACTTACTCACGGAACAGGATGGGCATTTAGGCGTGTATTTTGTGTGTAATATTTTGTGCATTTTGTATAAACGACGCCAATACCCTATTTACAATTCTTTCATTATTTGAACAGATAATTAATTTGACAATTTTGTGAATTTTTATCAAAATCAGACCAAGTATTAATTTGAACTCGTACTATTTTAGGTGAATTATTGTAATTTAATTTCTCTTTGGCATTAAAATTTGACTCAATAAAATGGACAATTCACACCAGAAATCTAATTATTATTTAGAACTGAAGAACTTTAATTTTATCCAAGTTTGGCATCGAAATTTATTTTCTGAGTTTTGATTTTTTTTTATATTTAGAATTTTGTATTCGTAGTCAAACATTCATGAATATTAATTCCCCAATGCAAAAAAAAAATTCTTACTGATTGCAATCAAACCTGTTCAAAAATTCAGTTTTCATTCAAACGTCAATCATCCCGATTTCTGACTGAAGATTTTCATTCACATTCATATGTCATTTTCTTTCAAATTCATTTCATTTCACTTCATCAGACTTCATTTCTTTCTTCGTCCCATGTATTAAGCATAGGGGAAAAATGAAGTTAGTGAGAAATCCTTCATGCACAGTCATTCACCTGAAATGACGGAATCCTTCAGTCATTTTCATTTAAATGGCAGGAAATTCATTTTCATTCACAATCATTCACAATTTTAGTCAGTAAAACGAATGAACGTGAACAGGTATGCTTGCGTTCTAATTATTAGTCAAACTAGCATAACTTTAATTTAATTCATTTATATGGATTGATAACTTTGATATCTCTTTATCCCATTTTGGCATCAAAATTTCCCAGAATTTTGTCTAAACAGGTCAGAAATTCAGTTTTAAAGCAAGGAGTGGTCCTCCCATGACATAAAACAAACTGGGGCTGGCTCCTTCGTGGTCACTCATTCACTGCCTCGGCTAACATAGCTAACGACACATTTAACGGATTTAAAGTACTTATGGTTAGTTAGCTAAACACATTACATAATGTAATGTAATTTACATTCCAAAATTTCATCCCCAAAACGAACCTAGGAAATTCCTTGAGGCGTAAAAAAACATATTTTTGACAGAAATCTGAATTCAGAAATATATTTAATTACAAAATGCCATCCCCAAAAAGGAAAACTCATTGATTTCAAGGTCTGAAATTCGTTAGGGCGTAAAAAAAATAAGATTTTTGTCAGAAATCTTAGTTCAGAAATATTTTTAGTTGCAAAACTTCATTACTAGGAATAAAATCCTATTTTTGTCTGAAATCTTACTTCAATAACTTAATTTTATCTCATTTTGGCTTCATGAGCATCTGCCGGATCCAGATTTTTTGAAATAACTTCAAATTTATCCAATTTTGGCATCGAAGTCTAGCAGTATTACTCTTAAACGGGATAAAAATTCAGAAATTTTGACTGTTTCCCTATTTTTGATGTCAAATATTCTTCCGAGGTTTGATTTCCGAGGTTTGTAAAATATGCAGAATTTTGAATTCGTCATCAAACATTTTGAATTTTAATTCTCAAACGCAAAAAACTTTACGTATTGCTATTATTAGGACAATTTAAATTTTATTAATTTGGCATCAAAATAACAGAATTTACTCTTACCGAGATAGAAATTCAGAAATTTTGATTAAAAATAATAATTCTGATATTAAATTTCTGAGTTTTGAATTCATAAAATATTGTTAATCCGTATTTTGTCAAATACTCTGAATCTTTACAAATTATAAGTCACAAAATATATAATCTAATCATTAATTTAACTACGATAACCTCAATTTTATCCCATTTTGGCATCAAACTTTACCATTTCGTCGAAATGGACCAAAAATTCAGACTTTATTCGTTGGGGCATAAAAACCCCTATTTTTAGCAGAAATCATAATTCAGAAATATTTTTAATTGTAAACTTGCAACCCAAACAAGGAAAATATGTTGATTCCAAGGCTGGAAATTTGTTGAGGTGTAAAAAAAATCCTATTTTTGTCTAAAATCTCAACTCACAATGGAGGCGCAAACCATGTTCAGCCCAGATAATTTTTTGACCTTATTAGTTTGAAGGAACAAGTCTTTACAAACAACATTTGGTTCGGCACTTGGGCAGATGCGCAAATTTCAGCACGTTATGGGTGCCGCAAGTTCGCAAAAACGCACGATTTTTCGGGCAATGCCCAGCGCGAGCTCAACTTCGTGTGTTTTTGCGAACTTGCGGCGCCCATAACGTGCTGAAATTTGCGCATCTGCCCAAGTGCGGAACCAAATGTTGTTTGTAAAGACTTGCTCTTTCAAACTAATAAGGTCAAAAAATTATCTGGGCTGAATATGGTTTGCGCCTCCATTGTCAGAAATATTTTTAATTACATACAAAATTTCATCCCCCAAATGCAAACCCGAGGTTAGAAATTGGTTGGGGCGTTAAAAAATCATATTTTCTTACGAAATCTTAACATTTTATTTCATTTTTGCATCAAAATTTCGTCTAAACGGGTCAGAAATTGAGACTTTTTTCGTAGCAGGGAGTGGTCTTCCCATCACATAAAACAAACTGGGGCTGGCTCTTTTGTGGTCACTCATTCACTGCCTCAGCTAACATCGCTAACGACACATTTAGCAGATTTAAAGTACTTAGTTAAGATCCTACCCTCATTGACTTGACATCCCTTCACTCCTTGACTTCACGAGTGACATGGCTTGGTGGTAAAATCCTGTAATGTGATCCCTTTTTCTCTCTTTACTTGCTTACATCTTGTCAAAAATGTTAAGTTGAGCTCTTCTTCCTGGCCAAAGAAAGGACCCCTTAACTCAAACCTTAATGTTCATTTTTCTCCTTCCCCTTCCGCATACGGGTGTTTCACATAATTAATAATTTCCAGGCCTCGAATTCGTTTAAACGTCGGGATGAAATGTGGGATTCAAAATATGTTTGGAATAAAATTTCGGATTTTTTTCGAATGAAAGTTACAATTCAGAATATCTTTAAATTGGAATCATGATTTTCACTTAATTTAGCCTATCATCAAAATCGTTAAAATCAGTCCATTTTTAATCATTCACCCGCGCTGGGAACTTATTTTAAAATTTTGGACGACAGATTTGCAGTGAGTGAGTCGATTAATTGAATGGCGATGAGTTTTTTGAGCCAGTTTCGACGAGTTCCAATTTTCTGAAGGTTTGTTAAAATTGCGATTTCCTCCTTCAAAAAGTATCAAAATCTGGAGTGCATATTTTCATACAAAAATTTGCAACTCACTACTCTACAAAATTTTAAAATTAATTCCCAGAACCAAGCAATGATTTAAAATGTGCTGATTTTGATGATGGGTCATCGAGTCCTGGTTTAATAAGATTTTACACATTTGTTCATTTGACATACGGGCTTCGTATGCCACGACTTGAATCACATCTCTTAAATCCTCATTTGGTACACACACACACGAACATAATCTTTAAAAGTGCTTGTTATTAATGTGGAGATTAGCCTGGCATGTGGTGTACTTCGTGTCGAACATAAATTTGTGGTCAGTTTCGATACTGGTCAAGCATCCACACGACCCTTCCCACATGTCCTCGTACATATGTAGCGGCATTTCGCCATACGGGATTTTACATGTGTCCGCTTGTAAATACCTTTTTCGTACTGAAAATCCGAAATCCACCCACTTGTCTCTCTCCATGGAGTGGAAAAACTTACAAAAAAATGTCAAAAACTGTCCTTTTAAAAATATTGCAAACGCCCAATATCTAAATCTCCTCGTTCCGTTTTTTTCTTCTTAAAATCCATCCACCTGTTTCTTTCTCCAATGTCTAAAACAAAAATCAAGCTAATTCCTATCAAAATTTTGAAAAAAACGTCCCCTGAATCATATATGTAAATCTCATATTCCGAATATCTGCATCCATTTCGCACTTTTTCTATTGAAAATCCATCCACCTGTTTCTCCATGGGCTCAATTTCTCTAAAAAGGAACTCACCAATTGAAAAATTCCTATAAAAATTTTGGAAAATTATCCCCTTTCCGATATATAAAATTCCAAATATGTACCTACATATCCTTATCCACTTCCTCCTCCCTTGCTACTACTTATCCATCCTTAAAGTACATACATTTGTACATACATAGATGATCTCATCCCAAAAATTGACAGAATGGTTACA